CCCACACACACACAAATTTTAGCTTTTTTTGTTTTTGTTTACTGGGCTAAAATTAGCCCTGTTAGAATCAGCCTTAGTGTTGTTCTTCACTTTGCTCCGTACAGAGGGTCTGGACTCTCGGCTGTTTAGAAGTGACTGCTAGAAGCGTTGAAGTTTCAAATGACTGGATCTGATTTTACCTAATTGCTAACATTTGGTTGAAACATGTAGTGCKCTAGCTCTACCGTGAAAGAAGCTATGCTAAGAAGCTAACCAGAAACTGTGTGCGCTGTAAGCAAAATGGAACTGCATAGGAAGGCAAGGGCCAGGCTAGTCTAAAAAGAAGCATTGGAAAACAAACAGATATCCAATTTTGTGCACTAAATGAAATTTAAAAAAAATAAAAATAAATACATAAATAAATAAATCAATAATGAGTGGTCACTTTCATTTTATTTTATTCTTTATTTAGACAAATGGCCTGAACTGGAAGTTCTCTCTGCCTCGCAAACACTTTGTAGTAAGCTGTTGGTGTACACGTCCAATCAAATCAATCAATCAATCAATCAATCAATCAATCAATCAATCAATCAATCAATCAATCAATCAATCAATCAATCAATCAATCAATCAATCAATCAATCAGTCAATCATCTTTATTTGTACCCGCAGGTAAATTTGTCTACAGTGAAAATGAGTCGGCCTCCTTCCAAGAAAAAGACATGACATGGACATGCAGTAGACAAAAGATGATTAAAAAGTGACCAGGTGCTCAATAAAAAACATAAATACAACTCCCAACTCAAAATACTATAAAAGACTGAAAAGAGAAAACAAGTTAAAATCAAGTAAAACCATATAAAACAAAGTAGATGACACACAAAAAAGAAAAAAAAAATCATATTATGTTATACTATGATAACTTGAATTTAAAAAGCTGATTGCAACAGGGACAAAGCTGATTTTAAATTGCTCAACATTACATTTTGGCACAAAGTACACACAACAAAAATTAATTGGATCATAATTACACAATGAAAACCTTATATACTAACTTTGTTTTGCATGTTGAAGAACAGAAAAAAGTCAGAGTGGTCGGTAGGTAATTAAAATAAACCAAAAGTGAGCGCTCATTATCAGTTTTTTTTTTATTATCCTTTGGAAAATAGGAAATCAGATAATGGTTAGTTATCCAAATTTTCATTTTGGAAAAACAAAACAATTAACTATTATTTTTTAATTTTTTTTGCTTTAACCAAAATAAATAAATAAAGAAAGAAATAAACAGCCAGAATGTACACTGACCATAAAATAAAAAAAATAAATAAAAAAGCCTCCCTACATCTGTGAACACCCACAGTTTAAACTACACGGGTTATTTCCTGGATTTTTTTCAAAACAAGCAATGACTAAAAGAAATATGTCCATGTTACTCAGCAAACAGATGGATGGATGACAGAAAAAAAAAAAAAAAAAAAAAAAAACTAAATTAGATGACAGAAATACAGCAGTTACTCATTAGACAAATATTTTTCACACCCTTATTTTCATGCAACCTTTTATCTAATGGGGTTTTGGTGAGGAAAAGGCCACATAATCATAGAAAAGAGCTGCAGTGTAAGTGCACCCACACATACAGCAGTATTAGCTCAACCTGAGAGCAATTATCTGCCACAAATAATTAGTTTTTCTCCCCACGTCTCGGATTTGCAAGGCTGTGGGTGGTAATCTCACAGCTGTATTTCTGGAATTGAGACCTCTTTGAAAGCACGACTGACTAATGATCCCCTTGAGTTCGCTATTGATTTCATTCTCAATAGATAAATCTAACCTGGTCAGGTTGGGAGAGACGCAGAGAGCTTTGAGGGGGTTCGAGGTGAAATCTAAAACCCAAGATAAGCAGACTCCGCTCGAAACAATGCTTCCAAAAACAGACATGGTACAGAATCTGTAATTAGCTTATGCACATGTCTTCTGGAGATGCTGCTAATCCAAAATAATCTTTATTCATAAAAATCTGTTGTGGGAGAAAAGATGAATACATATTATCATTGTCATTTTTATAATACTTTGTGTTGCAGCAGGTTTCTGGTGAGAAAATTGCCTTCTTGCTACTGACTGCTCCAATCAAAAGGTGAAACTCGATAATAATAAAACACTTTAAACACTGTACCGCAGGATGTTTTACCTGATATTTGACCTGCTTTAGTTCATCTTTAAATGATACGCTTCCTATACTTTATATCTTTCATTGCAGGATATTTTGACTATACAGCTTAGTGGATACAGCTAGCTGACCCATTAGCTAGCATAACAACTTTTTATTATCTTTAAAGAGCACCAGTAAATTAAAAAAGAGCTACTTTTAGCAGCTCTTTTTATTCCACAGCTGACCTGCTAAAAATGACAGATTTTCTTTTCTGGATCTCTGACAGACGGACTTCAATCTCTGAACTCGTAAAGTTTTTCTTTTTAGTTTTCGCTGTCATTTTCATGGATGGGCACTTCCTGATATCTGAGGCAGGAAACGTAGCCTTATATGGTGTTTTTGGGGTGGTAATTATGCTAATCTCCTCTCGCGTGCACGAGCAGCTGGATATGAACAGGTGGAATTTACGCAGCTCATTTACACACTTTTCCTGAAGATAGAAGAGTTTGTTGAATCTGACGTGGCATGTTCGTACGAACCCTTTGTACGAACAAAAGTAAAAGAAATTTAGGATAAGAATACGAATATGTTCTTGCATGAGGCCCAATGTGAGAGAGGGACTTTAGCTAAAATGACAACATCACCATAAAGGTCTCATTTAATAACGTGTTTTCACTGCATGTAAAGTTTCAATATGTTTCCGATTTCAAACAAAGTTGTCCAGAAGAGCCCATATCTTTATTTATTTGGAAGCGCTGCTGTCTCCTACATGTTTACTCACTGTAATTATTTGCCTCATTATCTTTAGCACTCTTTGTTTTGTTCTTATTTACATCCTCTCCCATGCTGCTGCTGCTGCAATGACCCTGCTCCCTCATGGGCACCATTAATGTTTCATGACTTTTCCCCTCTGATAAGGATGGACTGGAAGGATAAACCCACCTATTAAATTTAATCTGTCAAAAGCGAGCCGAGCCAATAAAAACCACGCTCGGTGCGCCTCTTAACTCACTTGAGCTCCACCCGGCCGCTGACCAGGGCCAGGGAGATGAAGTCCTTCTTCTTCATCTGACCGTTGTAGAGGAGGAGGCCGGTGGTCTCGGACGCTCGGAACTCCATGGCGATGCGGACCGTGTGGTAGGCGGTCATCGTCTGGAACGCCAAGTACGACTGGCCACCAAATGATGGGATGAAGTATTTGATCACTGTGGAGGAATGAAGATAATGAACCAATCCCGTTATTACCATGTGATTTGCTTTATCTCAGCCCAACAGAAGTTTAATGTGCATAATTACACATGAGTGGTTGTGATGAGTCACTGCCTCTTGATAGGGAAAAACAGCCAGCCGGTCCATCAGTTTATTTTAGGCAAAATAATTTCACTAAATGCTTTTGGAGACTTATAAAATGGAGGAAACCAAAAAAAAAGGAGGAAACGTTTGCCCACTTTCAGGTTCGCGGACCCTCACGCATGCACACACACACACACACACACGTTCACAAGATAGCTTTGCTTTTTAGCCACTCAACAAACATAATTTTCATCCATTTTCTCTGCAAGCCTTATTTTTTCTCCTTCTGTCCATCTGTCTTTCTGCCCATCTCTCTGAGGAGAATGGCAGCCGATCAGCTCCCTGTTTTCTAATGACTTGATTGATCTGGGGGAGGCTGTGAGTGCAGTGTGTGTGTGTGTGTGTGTGTGTGTGTGTGTGTGTGTGTGTGTGTGTTTGTGTGTGTGTGTATGTGAGTGAGATTTCAGTTAACCACTCTGATTCAAAGACACAGAGCAATTCTCATCATCTAATCCCCATCAAAGCAATTAGTGTCAATTATCTAAAGATGCAGCTGTGTGAGGTCGCTACTTGTTCCTCCAAATCCCAAAGTAGGGTAAGTGGGAACCAAAAAAAACCACACACACACACACACACAC